GGGGGACGTAGGTGCGGGGGGGCGGGGTACATGGCAGACAGATGTCATGCACAAAGGGAGAGAGAGGACGCTGCTGCCGTCCACCGCACACCACACACACATGTGCAACTCCGGATTATCAATGCTTCTCAGCGGCGGTCTGCATTGCCCATGAATGATGCATGCGTGAGAGAAACAAGCAGAGCCACGCATCTACTGTGTATCTACCTCTCTCGATATGTGCACCACACTCCATGGGCATGAGCATGCAGCAGCATCCTCATGTGCGACAAATGAGAGAGAGGGAGAGGGGGCGTCGAGGACACATTGTTGTACCCGTTGGTTGCTGCATGAGATACCATTCCAACGCCGATTTTCAAAGCTCGCCTACACTCTCGGCCCTGGAAAAGCAGCAACGGAAACCGAAAATGGCGGGAGGCGTCGGAACCGCCGATCTATTCGAGAGCTTTCCGGGATTTGATTTCGGTATCCTCTTCGCCCCGCGGGAGTAACCGGCCTTCGGAAGTCGGTCCCGGGAGCGTAGTATCCTCTGCAACCTATGCATACCCACGGCGGCAGAGGTCCAACCCCACAAGTTCTGGCAACTGACAAAATAACGAACTGCTATTGTGGCGTTGTCTACCGGAGTTGCGGAGCACGACAAATCTTGCTGATTGTGGTTGGGCCGAGGGTAGGTAAGCAAAACCGGCTGCGTGCCTGCTCCGACATGTGGAAGCTTCCCCTAGCCTGCCCGCCAACGCCACCCGCTGGGAACCGAGCGTTCCAACCGTATAGCCTTCGGGAGGCTGATGGTTGAATTTCCGGTCGGGGTTTGGGGTGTGCATGTGCATGTGATGCGTAGCGTTACTTCCAGAAAAGAAGAAGCTGCTGCCTGCCGTCAGAGATATTTGCTTTGGACGACAGAACAAGCAAGCAGCACTGGTTGGTGCTCCTGCTGCCAACACCCGCAAAGATCCCGCAGGCGTCTTTGGTCCTGCTAAGACTGTCTACCGCGAGCGATTGAAGCTTCAGATGCTGCTGTTGTAGACTTGGTGTGCGGCAGCAGAAGGGTGCGTGGGAGGGAGATGATGCGCGGAGATACAACAAAGATTGCCCCTTCTGGTAGCAATAAATAGTCTACTGCTGTCCTGCCGCGCGTAAAAATCATTCGCACACAGGTAAGGAT